TAGAGTGGTTAGTTAGTTACATAGCAAAAGTACCCACCTATATGAATATAATTTAAAAATTTTTGTACAGTTTTTCCTATTTATGCAGACAGTAATTAAAATAATTTCTAAAATTGAGTTTAACAAGTGGAAACAAAATAAAATTGTTGCAGCTTTATTTTTTGAAGAAGTGGTAAAACCATTTAAGGGTAATTTTGGTCAAGTTATAATTTGGTTTTAGTAAAACTTTTAAAATTGAAAAAATTGCAGTGTATTTAAAGAAATCTTCAACAACTGATAAAAAAAAGAATATTTACGGTAAGAAAGCGAGTAACAAAGGTGGTTCTGTTACTTTTTGATTCTCATTTACTTACGTTAGAATACTCAAAATGTGCTATTCGTAGAAAAGAAATTTATCAAAAAGTTAGGAATTTTAATTTACTCTGTGAGATAAAGTTATAGCTCTTATCATTGTGAAGAAACATATAAAATCTAAAAAATCTTCATTCTTAAGATCAAAATCGCAATAAAAACTTCAAATAAATCGATTTTTTACCTTATTCCCCGGGTTCAGTTACATAGGTAGCAAACTGTTCAAAACTTAAGGAAACAATCAACTATAAAACTGCACCTAAAATCCCAATAAACAACTCATGCGATCACGCACCGACCGCAGCAATACAGCAAAGCATTAAGCTCAACACATGCATCGAGGTACGCAGCACACAATATAAAAGCAAGTGTTTACGTGTTAAAAAATATATTAAGTGCTTCTCTAAATTCAGCGTATACTTAATATTTGTAATATCAATAAATCATTAACACGTATACGTACAGATGTCGTTAATACAAGCAGTACAATTACTCAATGTAAAACTTGAAAGGATAAAAGAAGATGAATAGTCTATAGACTAGACTAGACTATAGACTAGACTATAGACTAGACTATAGACTAGACTATAGACTAGACTATAGACTAGACTATAGACTAGACTATAGACTAGACTATAGACTAGACTATAGACTAGACTATAGACTAGACTATAGATTAGACTATAGACTAGACTATAGACTAGACTATAGACTAGACTATAGACTAGACTATAGACTAGACTATAGACTAGACTATAGACTAGACTATAGACTAGACTATAGACTAGACTATAGAGTAGACTATTGACTAGACTATTGACTAGACTATAGACTAGACTATAGACTAGACTATAGATTAGACTATAGACTAGACTATAGACTAGACTATAGACTAGATAGACTAGACTGACTAGACTATAGACTAGACTATAGACTATATAGACTAGACTATAGACTAGACTATAGACTAGACTATAGACTAGACTATAGACTAGACTATAGACTAGACTATAGACTAGACTATAGACTAGACTATAGACTAGACTATAGACTAGACTATGACTAGACTATAGACTAGACTATAGACTAGACTATAGACTAGACTATAGACTAGACTATAGACTAGACTATAGACTAGACTATAGACTAGACTATAGACTAGACTATAGACTAGACTATAGACTAGACTATAGACTAGACTATAGACTAGACTATAGACTAGACTATAGACTAGACTATAGACTAGACTATAGACTAGACTATAGACTAGACTATAGACTAGACTATAGACTAGACTATAGACTAGACTATAGACTAGACTATAGACTAGACTATAGACTAGACTATAGACTAGACTATAGACTAGACTATAGACTAGACTATAGACTAGACTATAGACTAGACTATAGACTAGACTATAGACTAGACTATAGACTAGACTATAGACTAGACTATAGACTAGACTATAGACTAGACTATAGACTAGACTATAGACTAGACTATAGACTAGACTATAGACTAGACTATAGACTAGACTATAGACTAGACTATAGACTAGACTATAGACTAGACTATAGACTAGACTATAGACTAGACTATAGACTTGACCATAGACTAGACTATAGACTAGACTATAGACTAGACTATAGACTTGACTATAGACTAGACTATAGACTAGACTATAGACTAGACTATAGACTAGACTATAGACTAGACTATAGACTAGACTATAGACTAGACTATAGACTAGACTAGACTAGACTATAGACTAGACTATAGACTAGACTATAGACTAGACTATAGACTAGACTATAGACTAGACTATAGACTAGACTATAGACTAGACTATAGACTAGACTATAGACTAGACTATAGACTAGACTATAGACTAGACTATAGACTAGACTATAGACTTGACTATAGACTAGACTATAGACTAGACTATAGACTAGACTATAGACTAGACTATAGACTAGACTATAGACTAGACTATAGACTAGACTATAGACTAGACTATAGACTAGACTATAGACTAGACTATAGACTAGACTATAGACTAGACTATAGACTAGACTATAGACTAGACTAGACTATAGACTAGACTAGACTATAGACTAGACTATAGACTAGACTATAGACTAGACTATAGACTAGACTATAGACTAGACTATAGACTAGACTATAGACTAGACTATAGACTAGACTAGACTATAGACTAGACTATAGACTAGACTATAGACTAGACTATAGACTAGACTATAGACTAGACTATAGACTAGACTATAGACTAGACTATAGACTAGACTATAGACTAGACTATAGACTAGACTATAGACTAGACTATAGACTAGACTATAGACTAGACTATAGACTAGACTATAGACTAGACTATAGACTAGACTATAGACTAGACTATAGACTAGACTATAGACTAGACTATAGACTAGACTATAGACTAGACTATAGACTAGACTATAGACTAGACTATAGACTAGACTATAGACTAGACTATAGACTAGACTATAGACTAGACTATAGACTAGACTATAGACTAGACTATAGACTAGACTATAGACTAGACTATAGACTAGACTATAGACTTGACTATAGACTAGACTATAGACTAGACTATAGACTAGACTATAGACTTGACTATAGACTAGACTATAGACTAGACTATAGACTAGACTATAGACTAGACTATAGACTAGACTATAGACTAGACTATAGACTAGACTATAGACTAGACTATAGACTAGACTATAGACTAGACTATAGACTAGACTATAGACTAGACTATAGACTAGACTATAGACTAGACTATAGACTAGACTATAGACTAGACTATAGACTAGACTATAGACTAGACTATAGACTAGACTATAGACTAGACTATAGACTAGACTATAGACTAGACTATAGACTAGACTATAGACTAGACTATAGACTAGACTATAGACTAGACTATAGACTTGACTATAGACTAGACTATAGACTAGACTATAGACTAGACTATAGACTAGACTATAGACTAGACTATAGACTAGACTATAGACTAGACTATAGACTAGACTATAGACTAGACTATAGACTTGACTATAGACTAGACTAGACTAGACTATAGACTAGACTATAGACTAGACTATAGACTAGACTATAGACTAGACTATAGACTAGACTATAGACTAGACTATAGACTAGACTATAGACTAGACTATAGACTAGACTATAGACTAGACTATAGACTAGACTATAGACTAGACTATAGACTAGACTATAGACTAGACTATAGACTAGACTATAGACTAGACTATAGACTAGACTATAGACTAGACTATAGACTAGACTATAGACTAGACTATAGACTAGACTATAGACTAGACTATAGCTAGACTATAGACTAGACTAGAGACTAGACTATAGACTAGACTATAGACTAGACTATAGACTAGACTATAGACTAGACTATAGACTAGACTTTAGACTAGACTATAGGCCAATTTACCCGTTTTTACCCTTTTCTCCCTCCTTATTAGATCGACATCACCATAAGTGCATCTGCTGCCAATATATAATGATTGTAGGCTGTTATCAATCAGTCAGTAACACGATTCTTTTAGATATACTTAATAATTTTATTGCTTTTAAGTTTAACCCCATCCCATTGTGCATTTCTACTTGCGTTTTTTTCACTTTTCAATAAATTTCATTTATTATTTTCTCTCACAAATATTAATGCCATTAATATATCAATATTGATATTTATTGTGGTATTGATTGATTATTAATATTGTACAACATTTCAATCAATATCATTAATATTTTAATGCCCTGTCAACGTTCCAATTGGTTGACTGCCACAATCGTAAATAAAATGTATTTTGCTGTTTTTTACTTCAAGTGTATTTTTAGTGTTGTATGGAAAATTGAGAAAATGTTAAAAAACATATAAAAAATTATAAAAATAAATATTTAATAGATATTTACAAATTGTATTTTATCGAGTTGTTATCATTCAACAGAAAAGTATTTGGTAGATATTTTTGTCAAACCATGACATGAGCGTCCTACTCAATATGGAAAATTGCCTGCTATAAATGCTTTGTAGCATACATACTACCTGTAATGTTAAATAAAAATTAAAAAAAAAAACTTGGCAATCTAATGTCCATTTTGTATATTTCCTAAAACTGTACATATGAGTGAACACGCCAAAATATTCGCTTCAAATTTAATTATAGTTTTTTTTGTAAAATAAACAAAAATTTTCAATAAATTCGATTAAATTTTCTAAACGTAGTGATTCCATAATTGATTTTTAATAAAACAAACCCGCAAAACATTTACCACAAAAAACTTAGCGAA